CAAGATTGGCCTGGGCCACACATCGTCCTGTGCAAACTGAACTGAACTGAACTGAATTATTTCTCGCCTCGAGCGGGGAACCCTACTAATCCCTTTTCAGTACTCTCTGTTCTAGTGGTAAATTCAAACCAAAAGAAAACACAGATATCTTTCAAGGACCCGGAACATTTGGGCAACAAGCCTCGAACCCGTGAATCACTTCAAGACTTCAAGACTTCAAGACAACTGAACTGAACTGACTTCAAGACTTCAAGGTCGTAATTCGGTGTTGACCTTCATCCCATTGTTCGCCGAATGTTGGATGTCATGTTCTCTTGATTTTGTGAACGTTATATACTCCAAGGGAATTTAAAATGTCGATGAACGGAACATCAGTATCAGAGTTGAATCAAGCCCCAGAAAAGAAGTATTACTAAATTATTTGATTTCATTGCAAAATTAGATTCTCCAGAGTATCGCGACTGCGTGATATGTTTCAGAATGGAGATATTCGCCCAATCGAAGAATTGGATGACTTCGAGGCATATGTTAGTCCCCCTCCTTTCGCCAGTGTGGATGATCCGTCAAGGTTTCTTCGGTGAGTGTTGAAACACGAGCCTTTCGTCTGAATAATTTTATGGTAACAATTAGTCACGCTTGCCGATGGTGAGTAGACTCAGAAGTATGATTCTATAGCCCATGCATCGATTATCTAAAGTGGATTGAGTATGCAGTTAGTCTTAGTTTCCCATTCATAATATTACCTTTCCAGCCTTCAATTTTGAATGATTAAGGGTTCTGCTTGAAGTTTTGCTAAAGTGGGCCGGTTAGATTTTGGCCGCATGCTACTACTCCTGCATAATCTAATCCAGTTCCACTTTGAAGGTACTGTCATTCAAACTGGATGCCATAGCTGATCCCACGTAGTCTTATGACGAAGGTTGCAGCAACCAGTTTGCACAATCGGCCAATCGAGCGTTCAGAGTTCCTTCGGTAGTAAACCCAGGTGACCAGTGTTCTGTATTAAAAGTCTTACGAATTTTGCTCTTCCCAATCGTCTGCCGCTGGAAGGGAAGAGAAAGAAAAAATCGCTTGTTTAGGAGAGACCTCCCTTTTGGGAGCGTTCCTCCTAGTAGGGATGATTAGCAAATGGAAAAACCTGTCACTTTTGCTGAAGCTAAACCTACGTGGCTGTTTGGGGAAACAGATTTAACCAGCACTTATCGAGCTCCATGTAGGACGCGTCTATGCTCTCAAGTTCCACCAGTTCCGGTTTTAATTCCTTCGATGGAGTGACTACCCTATTTCTCAATGAGTTCGACCGCGCCGCTAGTCTCGTGCTAATTTCATCAGGTTTTGCATATGCCCTCTCGTGTTACTTCACAACCTCTCAGATGGCATCCCATGATCCATCCCAGATATGCAATCCATAATTATGAGTGTTTCTATCAAGTCACCTTTTTGACGAAAAGGGTTCGAGGTCCAATTGGGCAACCGGAAGCCGCACGTGGATAGACCACATAGTCACGTATTCTCGTCGGGGACGAACGTCGGAGTTAAACAGAACTGAAAGTGTTCGA